CAAACATTGTTTTCATCCCACTGGTCTGTCGCCAAGGGCATGTTCTGATTGGACGGGCTGAAAACCATAGTGACTGAGGGTCAGGCTGAAATAACCGGTTGGCCGGATCGATTAAAAAGATATGTTAGGCTCCACTTTGCATCGACAACATCGGCAAATTTGCAGTTTGGGCGCCCCGTGATCCAGTTTTTCGGCAGATTGACCCACCTTACTGTACCTAGCTGGGCGAGATTGGCTAAGAAGAAGGCTTTCGAGGGGATACAGCTGAGTCGTCTCGCCCGGCAGGGCCTGGCGAATCAACATGCTCTCTCTTCCAAGAGACCCTCGGCGCCATTCATCCATTGGACGACGTCTTTCTGTCTTCCAGGAGGAGGTAACTGCTCTTTACGATAACCCACTAAGTTGCGCTCTACATAAACCCAACTCATTTTCTACGCTGGTGACTTGTATTCTGGCAAAACGAAATCCTGTCATGATCGAAAGAGCTTCGCAGTGATGATCTTATAAGAAAACGACAGCCAATTGCACTTGATCAAGTGTCGTTTGGCTTTACTGGAACCCCTCGCTTGACTATGCATATATATATATATATATATATATATATATTTAATTATTTATATTTATATGTCTTTATCTCTTATATATACGTTTATATAAATATATTATATAAAGAGAGTAAGCAGAAGGTAGATAAAGTAATAAGCCCAAAACCGTCTTGTAGAATTGATTGACAATCCGAAGGTCTTTAGATCATATACGCGCACTTACACACATGCACCTATGCATCCATATGCAAATATATATATATATAATTTAAGTAATAATAATATTAATAACTATATTTACATATACTTGTATACTGTCGATAATATTCTTTTTAACCCATCCACTGGACACTAGCTGGCAAGTGGCCGGATTGCCCATAGGCAAAAGAATTGTCTTAGAGGGAACCGAGTCTCTGTTTGCCGACACGTAACAGGCCGGTTGATTTCAAGCCGAGACATGAATTGACGCCCATAATTTGCTTGTTTGAAAGGATTAAAAGTTGAGAATGAACTCTCAGGAAAGTACAAGAAACGCAGTTCTCATCGTCAACTGTAGCTTCGTTCGCAGAGGCCTGACTGGATGATCCGTTTGTGATGCCTTTTGAATGCAACTCTCTGTCCTACCCTGAGGGTCACATTGGATTGGTTAACAAATCTTTCGAGTCCCACCGACGGTTCAAACTTGAGTCTGGCTAATTTGCCCAAATTCTCCCCAGATTCTGCATCTTTTCAAGATATAGCGTGGTTTGATTGGTTTGGGTCATATTTCAATCAAGAAGCCTGTGTGTATGTGCATTAATGTGTACTTAAATGTACACGAGCTGCGTAATTGAGAACATGCCAGGGAAGCCGAACAACTCCAGGTCAAGTAGCATTCGGTGTCA